GGCGTGCGTCCCTCCTGGCCAGCTCAGCGAGGCGCTGGGGCTCTCAGCAGCATCCTCGAGCCCTTTCCTCACTTGGCTGGCCCCTTCCCTGTGTTCTCCACTGGAGGTGTGGCTTTTCCCACCGCTGGAAGAGGAACTGCTCCTCAGGAGTTTTGGAGGCTCTCTGTATCCCAACGGCCCCCCCTGCCTCCCTCCCCTGTTCCGATGGCAGTCCCCTGACAGCACCCCTGAGGAACTATGTCACAAAATGCACTGAGCCAATTAACTCCCCCCCACCCCCGTGCACCTTTTGAGATTTCATTTCTTCTTCTCCCCGCCATCAGAAATAGTGGAAAGGAATCCCTGAGAGACTGTACTTCCTGACTTTACAGCTGACTTTGTGAATTCTGTTTAAAGTCTTACACCCCAAAATCCAAGAAGACCTACTACTAAATGATCAAAAGGAAAGCAATGTAGTAGCAAATTAAAAACATTTCAGCTGTAGCAGAGGGAGCAACGGCAATAACAGCGGTTGCCGGCACTGAGGACTTATTGTGCAAGTCTACGGAGACTTCTATCCTGGGGGCGAGTCCAAGGGACATAATCAGAAATGTTCTTTTATTCCTGAACAAATTAAGTCCTACTACAGTCAGTCGCACAGGAACAGTGATTATTCCATGAAGCTGGCAGAGCACTACAGAAATCTAAATTACAGAGTAGGAAACCTTCTGCCAGTAGAAAATTAAAGAATGCCTATAATAAGTAACAGTTTAAAGAGAGGTGTCCCCCCCCCCATCTCTCTTTCCAAAAGCACTCGTGTAAGAATGGAAATATATACCTTACTTATTGCTTGGAACCTTATCTCCATGCGACGTAAAAGAAAATCAGTTTTATGGAATGGACAATTAAATGAACAAACACACTTCCCAAGCTACCAAAGATGAACTTATCACTGATTACTGAGATTTGGGTTAAAAACATATAAAGGGAGGGCAAAATTGACATGCAAACTACAAGACAAGGACAACTGTGACTTCAAAGAAGAATGGGAACCTTTTACAAATTATCTAAAAAAACAACAAAATGAATTGGACTACCTGGCAGGTTTTGAATAAACATACACACATTTATTGAGGGACAACATAGAAGATAGATAATATAAGGATGTATACAGTTTTATAATATGCAGAAGTTAACATTGGTTGAGAAATCAGAGAGAGGAGCTGAGGAAAGTCGTAGGGGGGAGGGAGGGAGGGAGGGTCTGTTGGGGAGGTGGGAGGGGGAAAATGGGGGAGAAACAAGGAAGATGATTTGTTTTGATAATTTGCCATGTTGAAATTGTTAATAATTTTTTTTAAAAAAACCCACACACATATAAATGGAGGAGGAAGAGATATCATTTAGAAAGCTAGGAGTCCTTAAAAGACAATGAGAAAATAAAAACAGGATGAAAGCAGGTCTGCAATGTTTCGTTTGATTAATTGATTAGATCAGGGTTCCCCAAACTTGGATCTCCAGCTTTTTTTGGACTACATTTCCCATCATCCCTGACTACTGAGTCATGCTAGCTAGGGATGATGGGAGTTGTAGTTCAAAAACAAATGGAGACTCAAGTTTAGGAAGCTCTGGTTTAGCTCCACCAGCAAAGATGTTTGGAGCCATTTAAAAAAGTGTCCCTGATGAACTGGGAGGATATTTAAAAGCATTTCCCAACATTTGTTTCCTGTCTTTTGGCCAAAAAGCAGATATGCACACATCCCTTTATTCTCACAATAGTAATGCCAGATACGTTAGGCTAAGAGATACTATCTGGTAAAAGGTTAGCCACTAAGTTGGCAGTTAGCCAGCTAGTCCTCAATACAAGTCCCACACTGCAACCCAGCAATTCTCCAATGCGGTTCCCTTCAGGGTTATGGTCTGCAAGCATATGAGGCTACTACCTTGCTAAAGCTTAGTACAGTGGTACCTCGAGTTACAGACACTTCAGGTTACAGACACTTCAGGTTACAGACTCCACTAACCCGGAAGTAGTGCCTCGGGTTAAGAACTTTGCTTCAGGATGAGAACAGAAATCACGCAGCAGTGGCGCGGCGGCAGCAGGAGGCCCCATTAACTAAAGTGGTACCTCAGGTTAAGAACAGTTTCAGGTTAAGAACGGACCTCCGGAACAAATTAAGTTCTTAACCCGAGATACCACTATAGGTCTGGATGGCCTCTTTTACCCCTGAAGGGATGTGGGTGGCGCTGCGGTCTAAACCACTGAGCTTCTTGGGCTTGCTGATCGGAAGGTCAGCGGTTTGAATCCGCGCAACGGGGTGAACTCCTGTTGCTCTGTCCCAGCTCCTGCCAACCTAGCAGTTCGAAAGCACGCCAGTGCAAGCAGATAAATAGGTACCGCTGCGGCAGGAAGGCAAACGGCGTTTTCGTGCGCTCTGGTTTCCGTCACGGTGTTCCACTGCACCAGAAGCGGTTTAGTCATACTGGCCACATGACCCAGAAAGCTATCTGTGGACAAACGCCGACTCCCTCGGCCTGAAAGCGAGATGAGCGCCCCAACCCCATAGTCGCCTTTAACTGGACTTAACTGTCCAGGGGCTCTTTTACATTTACCCCTGAAACCATTTGAATGTCTTAGACTGAGAGCCCCTAAGGGAAAAGACTTACAGTGGTACCTCAGGTTAAGTACTTAATTCTTCCGGAGGTCCGTTTTTAACCTGAAACTGCTCTTAACCTGAAGCACCACTTTAGCTAATAGGGCCTCCTGCTGCCGCCATGCTGCCGGAGCACGATTTCTGTTCTCATCCTGAAGCAAAGTTCTTAACCCAAGGTACTATTTCTGGGTTAGCGGAGTCTGTAACCTGAAGCGTATGTAACCCGAGGTACAACTGTATTAACATAAAACTGCTGTAGGCCACTCGAAGCCCATAAGTGGGGCAGGCAGGATATACATATGCGCAGACACACATATAAACAATGGTTGAGTTGGACCTTCCTTGGGGAAGCAGAAACAGTTATCCCAGATATGCAAGGCAGCTCTCTAACCATCTATTTCTCAAAATCACGCCAAATAATTTTAACTCAGTGGGGTCAACATGGCATAAAGAATACAAAAACTCCAGTTGCTACGCGCCTTCAAATTTATTTTAATGAATTCCATTTAAAAATCTACTTTTTAAAAACCAAAAAGTACTTGCATTATAGGGGTGCCATATTTCAAGTGAAAATTGAATTGTTGAGCTTTTTTTGGCAAGTTTATTGAATTTGTTGTTTCTTGTTTTGTTTTACTGTTAACTGGCTATGTCCAGTAAATTCCAGACGTATGGCAACCCTATACGTCCCTGGAGGGATGAGTATATTTTGTTTCAGATGAACAAAGCAAACTATTACCTTCAATTTGCATATTTCTTGTAAAGCTTCATTTCTCTCTTTCTTAAGTTCTTCCAATTCCTCTCTTTGCAAAGGATCATAGGAGACAAACTGGATGCATTGAAATATTGGGGGGGGGGGAGCGGAGATTGTTAACAAAGAAATTTTGGATTAATTAGGTCAGTTTTATCCATGATGATACTTAAACACCTACATTAATCATTAATGCTTTAAGATTATGTAAAATGATGCTATTTTTATTGTTATTACTTTGCGGAGACTGTAGTAATAATAATAATAATAATAATAATAATAATAAACCAACTTAATCCAGTCTTATTAAGAGATTTGCCTGCTACTCCAATGAATTAACTTAACTTGCAAAATCATCAAGTACAAATTGAAGCAGAATAATTAGAAGAGAATCCAACAAGCTGGCCCTCAAACATATTTGTGTGTGTGTGTGTTTATCAAAGCCCTAAGTTATTGCTTAATAGCCGATGTTTTTTAGAAGAAGCTAACAATTTCATTTTAAAATGCAAGGTTGAACAGGGGTTTGCAATATTAAATTCGTAAAATCAACCATTAGACAGACACAAAACTAAAGGGAATAAAACCCGACAATATACTAGCAGGAGAAGGACAATACAGGACAGCTGTATGAAATAAAAGTAACAAATTATTATTCTTATTATCTATTCATTTATTCAGTGAACGGATGGATGGATTCAATGAATGAATGAATAATTAAATAAATAAACGAAGTCCAGATCAATGTAGAGAGCTCCATAACAGACACATTACTTACCTGTGAATCTAGTAATTGGGCAATTTCGTGAGCATTAAATGCTGCCTGTCCTTGGGCACTACCTGCCCCATCTAGCTGCAAACAGAATAGGTTTCTTGCCACCTGGACAAAATCTGAAAAAGAGGCTAAGTGAGCATGAACATGTCTGATCAATGGCAAAAGAAGCAATTTCAAGATTGCACCCAACTTTTAGCTGCCTTTTGAACAATTGCTATGTTTTCTCAATGTTCCCCAAGTTTCTCCCCATCACCCATTTCCTATAAAACACCACTTATCAATTGCACGTAGGGAAATCTGTAAGCATACAAAATGACAGGTTTTTAACAAGTCAGCTAGGTTAATTGCCATCAGTCTTATGTTAACTTTTGGCAACCCTAAAAAGGCTTGAATTAGATGAGAGACCTGTAGATTCACACACATCCTCCTCTCACTTACAGGCACTGAGCTCATTTAGCTACTTCCTCTTCGGCACAACCCATAAAGGGTAAAGGGGACCCCTGACCATTCGGTCCAGTCGTGACCGACTCTGGGGTTGCGGCGCTCATCTCGCTTTATTAGCCGAGGGAGCCGGCATACAGCTTCCAGGTCATGTGGCCAGCATGACTAAGCCGCTTCTGGCGAACCAGAGCAGTGCACGGAAACGCCGTTGACCTTCCCGCCAGAGTGGTACCTATTGATCTACTTGCACTGGTGTGCTTTCAAACTGCTAGTTTGGCAGGAGCAGGGACCGAGCAATGGGAGCTCACCCCATTGCGGGGATTCAAACCGCTGACCTTCTGATCGGCAAGCCCTAGGCTCTGTGGTTTAACCCACAGCGCCACCCAAATCAGGCGTAGGCAAACTCGGTCCTCCAGATGTTTTGAGACTACAACTCCCATCATCCCTGACCACTGGTCCCATTAGCTAGGGATGGTGGGAGTTGTAGTCCCAAAACATCTGGAGGGCCGAGTTTGCCTATGCCTGCATTAAATAGTTGGTAAACTATGGGTTGCGCTTCTCCACATACTAGGGACGAAGGCACTTTGGTCCGCCCCCAAATGTTTTGGGGGTTTTTTAGGGGGCAAACCCGTCCCCCATTGTTCTGAGGGTGAACATGGAGCCGGGTACAAGGCAGCTCAGTGCTGGCAGCTCCTCCTGCTGCTGCCACAACTGGCTGGAGGGGGGCGCCTTCCCCCTGCCGCTGGGGCCGTGCTGCCACTGCGTTCGACTCCGCTCCCTGGCTCCTAGCCCTAAGCAAGCAAACTGTGAGAGTAGCCGACAATATGACAATGCAGAGCCTTGTGTGGTCAAACCTAAACACTGTTTATTACTGTAATGAATAGGGCTGGGAGATATATTGATGTATCATCCAAATCCAGTAGGAAGTCCATACAGTGGTACCTCTGGTTGCAAACGGAATCCATTCCGGAGACCCGTTCGCAACATGAAAAGAGCGCAACCCACAGAGGCGCGTCTGTACACGGGCGGGTTGCAAATCGCCGCTTCTGCGCATGCGTGTGAAGTCATTTTGCGCTTCTGCGCATGCGGTGAAACCCAGAAGTAACCCTTTCCGGTACTTCTGGGTTGCTGCAGGACGTAACCTGAAAGAACGTAACATGAAGCGGACGTAACATGAGATATGACTGTATCATGATAGCAGTTTCCTAATTTTTGACCTAAAAATACAGTGGTACCTCGGGTTACAGACGCTTCAGGTTACATACACTTCAGGTTACAGACTCTGCTAACCCAGAAATAGTGCTTCAGGTTAAGAACTTTGCTTCAGGATGAGAACAGAAATCGTGCTCCAGCGGTGCGGCGGCGGCAGGAGGCCCCATTAGCTAAAGTGGGGCTTCAGGTTAAGAATAGTTTCAGGTTAAGTACGGACCTCCGGAACAAATTAAATACTTAACCTGAGGTACCACTGTATATCGCAAATCATGGTGTGTGCCATGCAAAAATCGTGATGCGGAAGAACCGTGAAGCCAGCCAATACTTCTCCATAGCGCCATCCTTCTTTCAGACATCGTGATACAGTGGTGCCCTGCAAGACGAATGCCTCGCAAGACGAAAAACTCGCTAGACGAAAGAGTTTTCTGTTTTTTGAGTCGTTCCGCAAGACGAATTTCCCTATGGGCTTGCTTCGCAAGACGAAACGTCTTGCGAGTTCTTGCGAGTTTGTTTCCTTTTTCTTAAAGCCGCTAAGCCGTTAATAGCCGCTAAGCCGTTAATAGCCGCTAAGCCGCTAATAGCCGTGCTTCGCAAGACGAAAAAACCGCAAGACGAAGAGACTCGCGGAACGGATTAATTTCGTCTTGCGAGGCACCACTGTATTTCAGTATGTCGCGATGTTTAGCTGTTGATCTATCACAATGTCGAAAACCAAGTATCACCCAGACACTGCGAGGAAGGCTTTTTTATGCAGCATTCTGTTACCATATTCCTAGAACTCACTTCATTACCTCCAAAAGACACTGTTCCTTTAGGATCCTTTGGGAGCTGCTGCCTTAGGATTTCTTGCTGTTCTTTTGTGGGTTGAATCCCGAGATAATTCAGAGCCTAGAAGCGGGATTTGGTGAGAGAGAAAAAGCACAGGGGTTTGAATTCTCTATCTGACAATGATGGAACATTGCACCTCCTTTTATCTGTTTAGGGAAGCTTTTAATGTTCAACAGATTATTGTATTTTAATATTCTGTTGGAAGCCCCCCAAAGTGGCTGGGGAAACCCAGCCAGATGGGCAGGGTATGTATGTATGTATGTATGTATGTATAAATAAATAAATAAATAAATAATAAAAATAATCTGTCTTGTTTTAACTTGCTTAAGTCGCCTTTCCAGTCTGAGAAGAAGGTGTGATGTAAATAATAATAATAATAATAATAATGTACTAACACACTTTCTATTTCCTTTCTCCAACACTGGATGATGGGGTGCATCCATAGCTGTCAACTTTCCCCTTTTTTTAAGGGAAATTCCCTTATCCCTAATAGGATTCCTCGCAAGAAAAATTGACAGCTATGGGTGCATCTGTTCCATAAAAGCCAACTCCTCGCGGCTGAGGTCTCTTTACAAAGGTCTCCCCCAATAAAATATTTGATGGGCATTACTGTTCAAATGTTGTGCAGCTGCTATGTTTCGTTATCAATTATGTGTGGCAATGCTGACGCCCCCCCCAAAAAAAATATTTGGCACCCTTGGGTTGGGCTCCCTTGATCTGTTCCTATACATCCACAGAGAGAAAAGTTTTACATACACTCGTAAGTGTGCTGTGGCGGAACTGAAACCCTGATTCTGCAAAATGCCTTCGTGAAAGAAAAAAAAAGCATTTACGTGGTACTCTGGGGCGTTCAAAGTGCTTTGCGCACATTATCCCAGAACGACATAAGCACCGGTTTATCCTTTCTCTGCTGCCTAACCCATCCTCTTTGTGATGTTTTAATGGGTCTGCTAGTGGCTGCCAAGTAAGCACACGATGTATCAGGGCGTGTGCGCAACAAGCAAGAGTCCCGGGCGCTTTTTAGAGACACTCCAAAGCGGCCCAGTCTGAAACCTCCATTCATTACAACAGGCTCTTACTGAAAAGGTTAGGGAGGCTGCGGGAAGTAGATGGTGCTTCTTCTAGGTGTTGGGTGGGTGGGTTACCTATTAAAGTAAGATAAGCTGGGGGATAAAGCAGCCCGGCTGATTCACAGTGCCATTTTCTGGCACCCAAACAAAGATTTTAAAGAGAGGAGATTTGAAAAGAGGCATACGCAACTCAGTGTGGGTTGCATCAGCACTCAGTCTCCTAAACCAAACAATTGACAATGAGAAAAAAAGGAAAGAAAGAGCAAATTCGGAAGCTCAATCTTCAAGCACTTACACAAAAACGATATAAATATTTAAGTGGTCTACCCCTCACAGTTCTTTCCCCCCTTATTTTCCTGCTCTCGGTATAGATGAATTGAGAGAAGAAGGTATCACAAAAAAGAGAAATGAGATCTTTTTAGCAAAATAACTTTGGGAAATAGCTGGGGAAGAAGGCGGCGGCAGAACTTTGATAAAAGCACTTGAAAAGGGGGGGAAATTGTAGCACTGATACCCAAAACATTTTCCTCTCAAACTGTAGGTGTTTCAGGGAAAGAAGAAATTTTACTAATGGGAGACTTCAACTTCTCTATTATCTGCTGGGTTACAAACGCCCCTAAGCATGAAATATCCAGCAAATTCCTGCCATAGTTTGCTAGCACAACTTTCCAACTCAGAAATAGGAGGAAGGAGCAAGGGGTGTCCGTTACCCTCGACTTGATCTTCACTAACAGGAAAGAGCTCACACTTTCTAACAGAATACACGAGCTGTTCCCCCCCCCCTAAAAAAAGTGCACAAACATTTACGTATGCATGCACTGCATTATGAAAGGCTGCTTGCAGGAAAATGTGCAAATTGGGCAAAGTAACGCCCCCGAAACATGCATATGAGGAAAAAGGCACCCAAAAATACTGATGAATTTTCATTAGGTTTTTATATGATTATGGACATAGCAAACTGATAGGGAGATGCGGCAAACGTAACTTAGGATTGGGGGGAAAAATGAGAAACAGCCATAGGGAGCTGTTTAAAAAACAAATAAATGTGTGTACAAGCAAGGCTGCCCTGTTTGAATATACTTCCTTGCTCCAAACTCACAATGAATCACAGGCTTCCATATTGTTCTTCCGGGAAATAATCTTTGGATGGCATCCTGCTCTTGCTGCATGGAGGGAGTGAACACATTGTGGAGTAGTGCTTAATAAGAGTTAAGTAGGATCTGGCCCTTCCATGTAGCCACCATTCAGGGAAGCCACATTCATGGCAAGGAGGCTCAACGAAACCAAGCTATTTATTCCAATCAGAGTCCCACCCATGCTATAACACAGGGTTTCCCAAACTTCGGTCTCCCACTGTTTTTGGACTACAATTCCCACCATCCCCGACCACTGGGGTATGATGGGAGTTGTAGTCCGACAACAGCTGGAGACCCAAGATTGGGAAACCTTACTCTAACACAAGGTCTCCCACCCACCTGCTCCTCCAAGGCCTGGAGCCTGTTGCAACATATTCAGCAGCAATGCACCCAGGAGGAGCTCTGCTCAATTCCTTTCAGGAAGCCAACCTGCAACTCGCTTTCATTGCACACAGGGTGGAATGAGGAAGGAGAAGGACTTGCAGGATGGCACCTCCACTGTGAACGTTCTTGCAACCATTTTGAACAGAAAATGTGGCTCCAAAACTGTCTAATCCATGGGTAGGCAAACTAAGGCCCAGGGGCCGGATCCAGCCCAATCACCTTCTCGATCCGGCCCGCGGACGGTCCGGGAATCAGCGTGTTTTTATAGGAGTAGAATGTGTCCTTTTATTTAAAATGCATCTCTGGGTTATTTGTGGGGCATAGGAATTCATTCATTTTTTATTCCCCCCCCCCAAAAAAAATATAGTCCGGCCCCCCACAAGGTCTGAGGGACAGTGGACCAGCCCCCAGCTGAAAAAGTTTGCTGACCCCACTCTAATCCTTTTCTTCATCTGCATTAATGTGTAAACTCCTCTATTTGGATCTGAATACACACAGGCACTCAGTCCCTGCCACTCTCTTTGTGAGTCCAAAGAGTCCTTGCTGAAATTCATTTACTTGGCAAGAAGAACAAAAGCTCTACAAGTTCATGTCATTGCCACAAAGTGCTCATAAGTCCTGGCCAAAATGGGAATCTTCCAGTTACTTTGGCTGCAGACCTACAGTAATATATTGCAAATTTTAGGGATCGCTAGAAATAAGCTAGTGTGACTATAAAAATATTTTAAAAGGAAAGACAACAAGGGTCCCGAGCCAAAGTAAATTGCTAGAGCCAAAGTAAATTGCTGAAATTAATGGGATATAAAGTCAATGGGAACTCAAGCACGACTTTCCCTAGATTTGGGCTAAAGGTTCCTGCAACATTTGCAAAAGGC